GGCCACTACACATTAAAAAAAAAAAAGAACCCGAAACCGAAGCAAAAGCACCCGAAGCCCCAGACCTCGAACCCTACACCCTAAACCCTAAACCCTAAACCCTAAACCCTACACCCTGAATGCTAAACCGCACAAAGCAGTCGTAGCTGGCAGACTGCAGGTATACTGTCCAGCGTGTTGTGCTGCTTGACGATGCGAAGGCCTGTGTCCGCTGACGTGCTTTGAAGCTGAAAGTGTGCTTTCAGTGCTTAAATGGGTTAGCTGGTCTTGTTGCTGAGTCGATTGTTGCTGTTTGCTGGTGATGGCTTTGTTGTTCCTGTTGTTGCAGTGAGTGTTGTTGGTGGTGGCACTAGTGATGGTTGTGGTGTCGGTGGTGGTGACGGCAGTGGCGACGGTAGACGCGTTGGAACCCCAGCTGTTTGTTGAAGTCTTCATCTGTGGAAACGACGATGCTGGCAAGGAGCAAGGACGATGAGTGCTCATTGGTATTCATTTTTCTCATGAATATTTTCCACAGCTTTGATACCACTGTTGTCTTTGGTGTTTTTGCAGATTGCTTTCAAGTCCCTGGTGTTATATTCGCTATTGCTTTGATGAAGATCATCATCACCACCACCATCATCATCATCGCTGTTGTTGTTATTGCCAGCTATGGCAGTTTTTTACATTCGATTGTCCTCGTTCTTGGTTTCGTCATCACTAGGCTAAGAGTATGGTTGCTCTTAATGCTATTAGCATTGCCGTTGTCTAGCACCACGAATCAAAAAGGGGCCATGCAAGTTGGGACTGGGTTGCTATGGGATGATGAGGTCAGCAGACCCCGGTGGTCCCTGTCGAATATCTACTGACAGTCCACAGTGAGGGTTAACGGTAGTGTCCATAGACAGTATTATTGCTGTACACGTGGCATATGGGATCAGCGGTGTCCATGACCAATGTGGGAAACTGCTGGTCTGTGCGCGTGCGCCTGTGTGTGTGTGTGTGCGTCTTGCAAGCCTTGCATTGTGCTTAGCATGTCGAGGTGCTTTCTGACGGTGCTCTCTGCACAATCGCTCCCAAAGAGGGTGCGGGACTTGGGACTCATGGCTTTCTGTTAGATGTATATATAGTAAATACATATATACATATAACAAATACATAAACATAGCAGTATATGCATATACTATCATGTTCTATCATACTATATTATGTATGTTGTAGTATATTAAAGCATATTATGAGTCTTTAGATGTCCTGACCATGCACATTCGAAGCCCCAAGCCTGCATGCGAGAACGGCGACTGAATCCCATGATCCTGAATCGCAGGCATCCCAAGCTCTAAGGTTGAGGGTTTGGGGTCAAAGCTCATCCGCAAGAGCTGTAACCCAAGATTCTGCATACTCCGGACTTAAAGCGGAGCTTCGAATGTACGGGTAAAATCTTCCCCCCCCGCCGACCGATTTGATCCGACACTTCCGCAGTTGTCCCTCCACAAAGCAGCCAGTGAAGAACATACCAGAGCCCACTGGCGATGGAGAGACTCATTACAAAAACTAAGCATTGTCAACAACTTCACAGAACCTTTCGAATCCAGCTTCCTCTGCAATCTCATGCAGCCCATATATCTCGCGGTTTCGTTAATCACGATACGGTCGAAAAGCCGACTTGTTCTAGGCACTGCCTTGCGTCGTTGCTATTAACTCGGGTCGTGGTCGTTGTTGCACATGGGCTGCGAGTAGCTGCTCACCAATGCAGGCTTCTGACCTTCTGACGTGCTGTAATCAGAGACAAAACCGCGGCAATAGTGACACCAGGACCAGCATGAACAGCAGTGGTGGCATGGATTTATTGTAGGGGTCGGAGGAATTGCAATATCCCCCTATAGTCCTTAACATAGACACTGTAGAAGTATAGTAAAACGACTCCCCAAAACCCGATTCTAACTATTTGACTGCAGCGTGCAATCTGAGGGCGTGCATTGCAACTTCATTTCCGCACTCAGCAGGTGCACACTGCTGCCGAAGTTCCGAGCTATTCAGACTTCTAGATTCGGATGTTGCTTTTCAGGCTGCTCGGCTCGAGGACCCCAGGGAATGGCTGATGGGCTTGTGAGGTCTTGGCTAGGTCGTGGTTGAAGAGTCTGCAACTTCAACCCTGAACGCCTGTGCATCGTGGGTGAACGGAAACTTCCTCGTACTTGTTGGCCGAGTCTGAGCAAGCCACCGTGACAAGGGCCAAAGCTCTAGAACGCCACTCCTGCTTGCTGGCGCACAAGAACTAGTATCCACTTAGCATTCGAACCCCTGTTCCGCAACATAGTCCTCCTGCAATGCTCCTCAAGAAAGTTGCAGGCGAACGCCCCTCAAGGGCTCTGCATTGTCTTCGTTCTGTCTCAGAAGACCCTGGACAGAGCGATACCTCTAGCGGCTGCTAACCTCTGAGTCCCAACCCTAAACCCTAAACCCTAAGCCCCAGCACCCTAAACCCAACTCGACAACTCCCACAAGAGCCTTGGTACGTCCACGCCGCCGCAGGTAGCCAGGCAATGGTGCCAGCTCCTGGACAAAGCTTGCCAGGGCGCAACTAGGCAGGAGGAGGTCGGGGGCCGGACTGCTTTGCGGGTAGATTCCTAAACCCAAAACCCTAAACCCTAAAACCCTAAACCCTGAACCCCACAACCCTAAACCCTAAACAGTCCAGAGTTTTGGAGGAGGAGGAGTTCGGCAGGGTTTGCATCCCTTGCGCTGCCGGTTCCCTTCAGGGACTCATCGGTTCCATCCTAAAACACCTCAGCTGCTACTCCTCGCAGGAGCGACCATTGAATGACTGTCGTGGCGTTATCAGGACTTCATTGTTCCACAACGATGATACCTACCACGAGACTACGATCACTAGTCGTAGTAGTAGTAGTAGT